CCGACGCTAACATGAAATACCTAAGAAAGTTAATTAGTCAAGAGAGGGGGTCAAAGTCCAGAGAGAAATTGATAAAAAAATGTCCAGAGAGAAATTTGCACGGGCCCTAGTTTAGTCAACTATTCCAGTCCTTCATCTGTGCAGGTTTTGCTTTGTTTCTTTGGGCTGAAAGTTGTACTTCTTTAATGGTGGGTGGCTAGCTAGACCTGTATCTTTCGTTCACAAACTTAAATGAGTCATGTAAATGGCAGAATGGCGTGATCATCGTATCCATGAATTCTGTGAAAAGCAAGGGAAACGATTGCAAAATATGACGGAATACCACTCGTGGAAGTCAAAAAGATGACACCAGGCCATATCCTACTCTACAGGCTACAGCGAGGAGCCGAAGCCGAGGACCCGTGTCTCATCAGTTTTCTCCCACCAGCTAAGCAGAAAAATCCCACCAATATCTTTTTTCTTATATAAAAGTAATAAAAATGTTTAATGAACAAACACATGCTTACAAGGTACACGTCTCCTACGTTATTATACTATATTGAGGAAAATAACTTTTTCTGCTAAAAAATGAAATCTTTTTTTACCTTTTCCTCATACATAACTCGTTGTTTATGTTAAAAAGTTATAGGGTGACAGAAAACATCATACAATATGCTACAGAATATTTACATGTTTTATTAGTGAAATATTTGAATATTATTTTTATATTTTTTAGTATTATCATAGCTCGAGTTTTTAAATCCGTACTAGATGTTCCCATCTATGAAAATAATCACGGAAATTAGTAACACATTTTTGTGTTAAGGGTATATGCTATTAACTATAAAAGGGGTAAAACTAAAATACAACTTAAAAAAAGAATTGTAAGAAGGTAAACTCACCAATTAATAAAATAGATAAAGGGATTAAATATATTCTATGGGGACTAATAAGTGGACAAAAGGGCATATTTAGGCTAGTTCCAGATGATATGTGATCACACCAGTTAATTATATATATATATATTTATAGGGATTTACTAAAATTCAGGTGCGTGAATTTTAGTTTCTTTTTCAGGCGACAGTTATTGCATATATTTTATATTAAAATTGTAGATTCCGTTCACTGCAATTCGGTAGGCGCAATCCACAATTTTTTTGGTATCGAGAATAAAAAAACCGTTAGACAAAACACAAATGCGACAAAATTTGATTTGTGTTGACATAAAGACAATTAATAATTTATAATTATTTATATAGGAAGACAAAGATAAAAATTTAATGTGTTATAACACAAAGATAAATAACAAATAAGAAAAATAACAATTTACTTGTACTAATTGGTAGTACAAGAGTGTTGCCTGAAATCAACTTAAAATTCAGGCATCTGAAATATAGGAGAAGTGATATTTATATTATAAGAAACTTGTCAACGAGGAATCGTGAGAAGCATGCATGTGATTTGATTGGGAGTGAGTATTAGGTAGAGGCCCCTCAGGGACTCAAGCATATGTTTTATTTTTCATTTTAGAAAAATAAATGTCTCTAGCACAAAGTTGTGATCTTTTTGAGTTGTACCTAGAACAAGTATCTTTTTACATTATCTGATATAATAAAGAAAGCTAGAATAGGTAAATCAGTCGGATCAGAAAGCTATCTCCACCATTGAGAATCTGAGATGGGGTCACTATGAACTTGAGGACATGTAGAATGGAAAAATACCAAAAAGAAAAGCATTCCCGTCTCCATCGAAGATTAGAAAACTGCCACGGGGTTCCACATCTCTAGCTATCAAATTTATTTTCTGTATGTTGGAATTTTTGTTTCATATATGACTGCAGTCCTATGTATATTCTGTTATGTCCCCGTCAATCGCCGCTTCTAGAGAAATTATAAGGCACACGTCTACATCAGCAAAATAAATAATTAATAATTGTAATTATTCATTTTGCTGATGTAGAAAATTTTCAGGGATAGAAACATTCCTGCTGGTGTCACAGATGGACAGCACAAAAGTCAAATCAGAGTAATTTTGCAAGCTTCCCTTTTAAAACAGACAGAATCATGGAAATCGAGTCTCTGGAACCATAAAAAACTTACAGATAAAATCACTAGACAGCAATGAACAGCTGAGAAATTAGTTCTGGCAGGGACAGTGCCAGAATTTCCAGTCTGGATAGATAGCCCTGAGGCGGCTCCATTTGGTAAACATTCAGATTCACGTTGTGGTAGCCTGGTAGGGCAGTAGCATGCGTGCAGAAAGGGTAGAGGCGTAGAGCAGAAAGCCAGAAACGCGTCGGTCTGCAACTTTGGTTAGGAAGCCGTTCAGGAGAACTGGAGCAGCACATACATAGCTGGGGGCAAGCCAGATTCTTTAAAAAAAAAAAGATTTGGACCAATCCAGAAAAAAAATCTAGGTAGCATTCTATATTAATTATTAATTAAGAATTAACAATTGATAATTATAATAATTGAGAAGATGGCTGGTCTGGAATCTCGACATACATACATATACTCTCGAGTCTCGATGAACTAAGCTAACTCAACATCCTCTGGTGATTTTGTTTTCAGCTGGGCTGGAAAAACAAAAAAGAAAAGAAAAAACTGCCGCTTTTTTATTATGAAGATGAAGATATTTTGGTTTATGTTTTGTTTTGGACCTTATTTCTCGGGTAGGCACTTTGGTTCAGAAAATAAGGTCTAGAACGTAATGATTTCATCCGTTAGGGGCCCTAATAACTAGTACCTAGTAGTTTTGAGACCGGACCATTCCAACACGACGTGCTAGCGCCGGCACATACCACATACCGTGCCCTTTGACTTGCTACGCAGCCAAAGGGGACTCGCGCACCGGTAGTCCACTGGTACGGTGACATGCCGTGATTCTACGTGCTTTTATGAATCGTCGATCCGATTCCGCAGCCTGGAACTGAAACGTTCGGAGTTCAGAGCCAACGCTGCGAGAACAAGTCCAGTCGTCCTTTTTTTTTTGAAGTATAAAAAGGTCCAGTCATCCTACATGCATGCATTGCTAATCCTGGAGTTAATAACATGACAAGGACGTATAATGATCGATGTTTCTCAGCGTAATAATTTATGATTCATATCGAAAAAAGCACTAACACCTTTCGAAACAAAAAAAAATCGCCCTTTTTGAACTAAAAAAACTTTCTGAATCCCAAAAGTAACATCCTGTTTTTCTTTATCTTATTATAAAAACAGAGCAATCTAATAACACTGCCCAAACCACTCAAGAAAACACAAAGTGCTTCCTTTTTGTGAGAGAAAAAAAAAATACACAAAGTGCTTCTTGTCGCTAGAAAATGGCGCACCCGATGCTATTGGCGCCCTACTTGATTGATGTGCGAGGATTGGACAGGTCTTGCTGGTTCTGAAGGAAGCCAGGCAAGCACTAGTACCCACTAGCAATCCTGTACGAGGCAGGCGTTACCCGGCGCTGACGCAAATGGGCCGGCGGAGGAGGAGGAAGAAAGGCGACGGCGACGGAGAGCGATGGGTACGTGCGTGCTCGCTCGGTGGCCGCGTGGGTGGCGTCAACGTCGGCATCATTTGGGCCACCGCTTCCCTTATCCCCCCCCACCCCACCGAGACGGCTTTGGGGGAACTGGACGGGACCGGCAGCTGACGGGCACCCGCCGATGAAGACGCGTCCCGGTGTTGTATTGCTCTTGCTCGGGCACGCCAGGGTCGCTTTGATCCGATCCAATGGGCATCGTCACGGGGTACGAGCGAGGCGAGGTGAGGTTCAGCGGCTGACACGACGGTGTTGGACTTGCTCGGACGATTGATCCATGAACAACGTTACGTCCCAGTTGCTCTGCCTGTAGGATTGCTGCCCCGGCTTTGGTTTTGATGATCGACCCGTGGTTCTAGCAAACGTGGTGCCAAAGAATCCTTTCGCTTTCGCCGTATTCGTTTAATACCCGTGGTGCAAATAGGCTCCTTTAGGATACAAGAACTTTACAGAAATTAAGAATCGTATAGGGATTTTACAGAAATCATTTTATTTTTTAGAAAAAACACATAAAAGAGAAAAAATGGTATTCCAAACGGACCAAAGGAGGACAAGCGGAGCACCCCGCAATTTTGCAGGAACATCATAGCTATTTTTTTATTAAAAAAATAGTGGTAATATGATCCGATTTAGATATCATTAGATGTTAATAGTTATTAGTTAACTAATAGCTCATAGCTAATATTAGCTGGTTTGGTTTAGCTAGTATGATAGCTCATGGCTAGTATTCAACTAACAATTAGCTAGACTATAAGTTGAACCCGTTTGGAATTAATAATGAGCTAATTATTAGCAGGTATCTCTGTGAATATAAATAGGAACCAATTATGGCCATCACCATCATTATATACCATAATCACATGACTCAGGAAAAGTTGGCCAACGAGTAATACCGTCTTTGATAAAACTGTAGGCTAATTTCGATTTGTCGTGCTAGCAGAAAGGCGGGCTGATAGCCGGAACCATCTGTTTTCTGTAAGGAAGCACGCCCCTCTCTCAGCCCATGGGAATTGGTCTGGCCTTGACAACCTAAGCCCAAAAACTTCCAGATCAGGTCATCAGGTCACTGCAAAACTTCATGGGCCTCAAATATACCGCTGAAACTTCAGAGAGTCGAGACAGACCTTCCACGGACGGCCTGCACGCTGCGCATCCGGCCGGTATTACAGAGACTGCAAACAGCACCAATATCAAAGATACCACTTCACGGTTCACATTGCGCATTGCATCACAATTCACATCCCAGACAAAAGGTTAAGACACCGCACCGACCATAGTTAACAAACAAACACCAACATTCTGATGATGCTAGGATATACTGATGATCCAGCCTTAAATGCTGCGGGCAAAACCACTTGTTAATTCCCTGTAATACTCTATGCTAATGATAAGCCCCTAAATACCTCCAACATACACCCGCCACAAGACCACGATGGGATGAAAAAGGTCAGGCGCAGCAGAACTTGTAGCAAAATGACTGCACTGGGCTACTCAGTCAATGGGAGGTACACCCGGTGCTGCTGGGTTGGAGTAAGCTTCCTCCGGCAGGTAGGGCACTTCTTCTGGGCCTGAATGGCAGCCTTGATGCACTTCTGGCAGAAAATGTGGCCGCAGACGGTGGACGCCGCTTCCGTTAGCTCGTTCATGCAGATTGGGCAGCTGAACTTTGGTTCCTTCGGGACCTCCTTCACAGGTTCAGGGGGTGCCTGGATCAACATTGGCATGAAGAATCATTTAAGTGGGCATTACAGAGTTGATATTTACTGACCTTATATTGCTCAAGGACACCAGAGAGTTCTTACCTTGAAGGTGTTGACTTCTGGTGTGTCCACTATACTTATTACAGGGCGGGCATTGGTTGCTCTCAGAGGCTCGTGCCTACGGTTTATGCCCAGAGATAGCAGTGTGTTCACATGCTCATCAAGAGCATCACCTAGAAAGAATGCAACATCCACCCAGAAAGACAAGTACGTGAGTCTCTTAGATTCCATTCCTACATGCTAGGCATACTTGAGCAAAATTAAGAACAAAAATTTACAAGGTGATATTTAACACTTATTTAAAAGGAAATGCATCACTAAGGCTACGATTATATTACCTAAACACTTGTCATGTGTGCAAATGATCAGGTAAACAACAATTAAAACTTACAAGGCAGCCTAAACCAACTGAAACCAGGGAAAAACCATAACATTGATATCCAACACTGCTAACACGACATAGACATGTGTGCACACGCCCATGCTATTAACCTTCCAGTGGAACAACTCTCAAGTCAGTATGCCAACCAGTGTTTCAATTTCAATCCCTGTTTCAAAGGCGTCACCTAGGCGTCCAGGCGTACCCAGCTCGCCTTGGGGAACAGTAGCACCTTGTCGCCTAGGCGCCGTCTAGGCGTCCAGGCAGACCTAGCACTCGCCTGGATGCCCAGTTGCCTTTGAAACCATGATTTCAATTCAGTACATTGAAAGACATTAGTGATCTCTGGTATTACTGCTAGCTTGCTAAATAAACCATGTGGACAATACCAGCCACATCAATAAGATTATGTTGTTACATGGGCAGCTAACAACTAGCCACGGTAAAAATAAATAAATAGCGCTACATTGTGAAGCACTAACACACATATCACATATTTTTTATGCTTAGCAAGATAAACTGTAAGAAACATGACCTACATTATGATGCTACCTCCTTTAAAGTGCAGGGAAAACATCACAACTACTGGGGAATGAAGAGCAGGGCAGTCCAACAGAGCAAAACTATAAATTACTATGTGCGAGATGGAATAAGAAGTAAGAACCATGAGTTTCCATACAAAACAACTAGATTGCTGCATAAAAATGAATGGCTGAATGCGGTTTCTAAAATTCATGCTGGAGATAACATCAAACCTGCTGGTTCTGGGTTTGTTTCAGAATCATCATCTATTATCACAACTGCTGTCCTGGTCGACTGTTGTCTTGCCTGAGACACGAAGGCAAACAACCAGATAATCACTTTTCCATCTTGAATGGTCATATAAGAAACTAAAGCAGACCAAAATAATATGCAAATCTACAGATAGGCACTAGAACAATGCACAGGTACATACTAGAGGGAGTGATCTTGAAGAATAGATAACAACATCATCATCGATGGCTTCCACATCGATGGGGCAACTATGCATGCCAATGCGAGGCTCATCAGTAGCCGGTGGCGTACTGCTCGAAGCCTGGATGTGCTGCACAAGCATACTGCTTGAAGCCTCGCTGTGCGATACAGGCATGCTGTTGAAAGGTAGAGCCCCCTCACCAGCCCCTTCAGCAGGGGGGCAGTTGAGGTCCAAAAGCCGCGAATGAGACTTAGTCGTAGTCCGCCGCCTTTTCGGAGTCCGCCATCCGGCACCATGGGAGTTCATGCTGAGTAAAAGATACTGGTTTGCACAAAGTCAGTTAAAAAAATGTATGTTAGCAAAACTTCAGCAATGATTACAAGCACAATCCCAACAGCTTCGAAACAGAATGAGGAAATAAACAATATTGTTCTCGAGATTCCATGGTAAAATCGATCTTAAATGATTTAATAACATAGAACAACATTCTTGAACAATGGAAACATGCTTTACCCAACTTTTCTACAGGAATGGTATACAAAGCACTTATGGATACACAACCGAGATGAACTACACCTGACGAGATGCAAGAACTCTAGGAAGAATCATCTGCGTACCCTCTCCATAAGACCGATTCCAATCAACGAAACAGAATCTGGAAATCTAGTCTTTTTTAAAAGAATTAGTACGTCCAAATGCCTTCCTAAAGCCTCAGGCTCCGCTTCAACCAAAAGGGGCTAAAAAATCGCACCTTTCTACCGCTTTCCCCAATTCCCCAACCCCTAACCATCTGGGTCGACAGAGATCCCCGGAATTCCACCCCAAAACCTTGTATTCCGCCCAGAAATCGTCCAAAACCCCCCAAATCGGGCATGATTCCAGTATTTATTCGCCGCCCACCTCCATCCGACCCCAAAAAAAAACAGAAAAATTTGCGAAAATCCCAACGCACACAGGAGGATACAGGAATAGCAAGCTGGGAATCGAAGAGTACCAGGAAGAATCGGGCTTGTTGTCTGGGTCGGAGGAGCGTCTAGGGTCTGTGGTTGGCTGGTTGCCAGCTGAGTCTGTTCTTTTTTTTCGTCTGACCGCCGAGCATTTCGCCATTTATAAATAGGAAACCGGACGCGGGCAGTAGCGTCAGGGATGGCTGTCACGCGGGGCCCTGCGCCGTGTCCACCATGGTCCGTGCACTCGGCGCAGCCGGAATGGGCCCCCCTTCGCGTGAGCGTCACAGCCTCACAGTGTGAACGACGCGGTGGTCAATGGCGAAACGGTGATGTCAGCGCCTACGTGCCAAACGAACGGGCCTTTCCGTTTGAGTGACATGTGGGTCCAGGATCCAATATGTCAGTTGAACAACCATTTGGTTTGGCGTTGGATGCCTGAATAGGCTCGGCTCACAACCAATGGTTTTGCGTTGGAGAGGCTCGGCACATAACCGGTCTTAGACTCTTGGTTGTTTATCTAGGCTCCGCCCTCTGGTGTAAGAAGCCACAAAGTATCTAAACTTTGGCGAAGAAAGGTTTTTCTGCCTACTATGCGCGTGTCCTGAAAATATGATGTAAACGTCCATGAAAATAAGTTTTTCTTTCGATGCGTGTGTCCTGAGAATATGGTCTAAATGTTTGATGGCTTTACCAGATTCCTAGGCCGTTTCATTGTTTCCAGATTTTAGTATCGAAACGGTTAACAACTAGATACCGTGTACTTCTACGCTGCTCTTAGTCTATATTGAAAAAAAGTCGAACTTGCGTATAGACTTTTTTTTTTCTGATGATCATGCACATTGGTCGACTTTGGTCTTTGGTCATGAAGGACGTCTTTGGTCAGATTGGCGGACACGTCCCTCGCTCGGGAACCCTAGGGCTCTTGAGGAGCTCGACCCATGTTTTCTTAGGGTCCTAGCGCCGACGCTTGGGAGTGACCAAAGGTGGCTTGGCAGCGGTAGGCCCATACCCCATCATCTTGACCAACCCTTTTCCTGTGGCCACGTTGGGAATCTTTTGCCAGGCCCTCAGTATAGCTCACGGTCCTAGCAGGGTGTTGTTTCCTCATCCCCGCAAGGCATTGTTGGCCACCTGGATGAGGGATCACGACCAGGGCAAGACATAACACGAGAGCTGAAACGCACGGCCTGTTGGCACCAAGGAGGAGAAAGAGGCGCACGACCCTATGCTAGTCTCTCCTGGGAAGGCTATTCTCTGTTGGCATGTGATGAACGCCAATGGGAAGACGGACTGGGGACGGACACAACGGTATCATCTGTCCCTGGTCGCTCGCTCCTGATCCCAGTAGGCGATGCGAGAGACGTTTCCGGACTGTTGGCCACGACCACGAAAGTAGGAGCATCAGATGCCCCTAATGACTCCAAGATCAAGAACGCGAAACATTAGAACTTCCTTAGTAGCTAAAAAAGCTACGATACCCAACTCTTGTACACCCTCGCCCTCCGTAGATATAAGTCAAGGGCAGGGCTCCTATAGAGCTAGGGGGAGGGAGACCCTAGATCAAAACTAGCTCAATGCTCCCCTACCACCTCTCTTTCTCTCTTGTTGTAAGAACTCGCTTGAGCATTTTAACACAATAAACTCATTGTTGAACATATATAGGGCTTCGAAGCCCGAACTAGGATGAACCCCTTGCGACTTGAGTGCAAACCGCCAGAATTGATAACGTCGATACACTAATCACTAGCCGTGGTGACAAACCCACGTCACTTAGCCCAACTCAGAACTACCATGATAACTCAAGTAAACACTCCTAGCTAGCTTGGTTAATGGGATTAGCCCAGCTCAGAAACTACCATGATAACTCAAGTAAACACTCCTAGCTAGCTTGGTTAATGGAAGCATGAGCTCTTAGATGTAAGACATGTGTCTCGTATGTTCTGCTGGACCAGAGCCATCCAGTGCTGACAGTGACAACCAATGTGAAAGGCTGAATGCACTGTGCTGCTTATTCGAGTTGGTGCCACATGGACGGCCATGTCATTTGTGATTTGCATAGACGTTATGCGATTAGGACACGTATTACCGTAGTACTATACCTAATAGCCGGTAGATTTTTGACTCTAAGAAGAGGAAGAAACGGCACATGCTTTCACACCATCGTGTAGCCTTTTCACATTGACTGCGATGGCCCTTGTTTGACTCGACGGGCCATGATTTGGGACCAGGAGAAGTTGGACTATGCAGGCCCAGTAAAAGATGTCTCGACCGCTTCGGGTATTGGCCCAGCTGACTATTGGGTCGAAATTGGAGGCTTGCGTGTGTGTATATGGCACCCAAGGTTTGCGCGTCCTGGGTTCCTAGCCCATGCACGCAGCAAGCTGGGCCACGTACCAGCAACATGTTGTAGTGCCTTCGTATACGACCTCACAATATATACTTCTCTCCCTGTACGGCTGTACGCAGGAACATGTACAATACAGTGGTACCGATAAGTACAGGTCAGTATTTGCTGTGTGAGGATGAGAGATCCTGTCGCAGAAAAAATGTACCGACCGGAATATATATGCGGCGAATATTCCGGCGACAGCGCAGTGCATTGGACAAGGGCGGAGCGTGACGACGCGCCGGCGCAAGATGGCGCGCCGCGACGGCGAGCTGTTTGTCCCCACCCGCAACGGGCCAAATAAACGCGCCGCCGTGTCGTCCACACCAATCCCACCCATCTATCGTCCTTTCCCGTCCCCTATATATATATATATATATCCTCTATATACTACTCCTACGGCTACGGAGTACGTGCCACACGCGACGCCACGACACGCGATGCCCATGGTCCGTCCGTGGATATACTATGCCGTGCAGTCGTGCACACAGGGTATGGATCGCGTCGCTGCCGCCAGGACATGCGTTCGGCCTTCGGCGGCCAGCCGGAGCCGCAGGCTGCATGCATGGGACATGGGTGGCTGCGGGAAGGATTCGTGCGGGTGACGCAGCGCGTCCACATACGTAAGCATCATGATCACCAACCGCGCGGCCGCGCCGCACGCAGCACGCACGCTCGGCGGCCGCGCCGCACGCAGCACGCACGAGCGTGCGTGCGATCCGTAAACCGCGTGTGAATCCTGACGGGACGTAGCAGCGAAATCCGTACTGACCAACGGACGCGCAACTCAAAAAGCGCGGGGGGCCAGCTTCGCGCGTGGCGGGGCCCGGAGCTCGGCGGCTCGCTGACCCGGCGGGCCCAGCCGAGCCGGGGGGCCACCACCTAGCCACGTTTCGCCAGGGCCGCGGCTTTTTCATCCCCCGCGCCTCCTCCCTGCTCCGTCCGTGGCAACGAAGGCCCCTACAACTGCGGCCGCCGCTGCAACCGCATGCACGGCATGATCCTTTCCCTTCTTCTTTCTCAAATTCTCCTCCGATGCCGCGGTGACGCGTGGTGCGTGCGCGCGCGCCTTTTCCCCTGCCTGGAGCCTGGCCCGTCCTCCCTCTCTCTCTCTTGATCGGTTCCAGTTAACACTCGTAGCCCGCCAGTGGCCACGCCGGGACGGGCGCGCTTTCTCGCTGCCGGGCCAAAGCAGGAAACCAAGCAACGGCCAGGAAGGAGTCACGCGCGAGGCGAAAAGCGGGCGGGGGTAGGAGAAGCGTGGGCGCCTGGGTTAATGCTTAGCGAGCGAGCGATCTGAGAGAGGTAGAGGCCGGGCGGAAGAGGAGAAGTCGGGGGATCCGATGGCGGGGAACGAGTGGATCAATGGCTATCTGGAGGCGATCCTCGACAGCCGTACCTCGGCGGGGGGAGGGGGAGGAGGAGGAGGAGGCGGCGGGGACCCTGGGTCGCCGACGAAGGCGGCGAGCCCCCGCGGCCCGCACATGAACTTCAACCCCTCGCACTACTTCGTCGAGGAGGTGGTCAAGGGCGTCGACGAGAGCGACCTCCACCGGACGTGGATCAAGGTCGTCGCCACACGCAACGCCCGCGAGCGCAGCACCAGGCTCGAGAACATGTGCTGGCGGATCTGGCACCTCGCGCGCAAGAAGAAGCAGGTCTGGATTTCGCCTCGCCTCTTTCTCGTTTAATCTCTCGCTGCTTTGTTTTGTTTGTTAATAATAATCTCGCTCGTCTCCGAATTTGTGTTTTGTTTCAGTTCAATCTCTGATTCCTATTTTTCTTTCTCGTACGTACGCCTTCTATGATTTGCTTCCCGTTAGTTGGCGGCCGTACGGAACCGCCCGCTCGTTGATTTTTTGTTTTTTTTGTGTTTTCTGTCTGCTGGATTGAGATGCATGATTAATGAAGCGCGCACTGCATGAGCGATTCTTGTTGTTTTTAGTGTTTTCTGTTTGCTGGACGGAGATGCACGATTAATGAAGCGCACGCTGCATGAGCGATCCTTGATTTTTAGTGTTTTCTGTTTGCTGGACGGAGATGCATGATTAATGAAACGCACACTGCGCATCGAATAGAATAGATATTCTAATCGTTCGCTTTATGAATTATGAACTTGTTTTTGATTGATGTTTAAGCCTAATGATGAAGTGATGATAGATCAGGCATGCATGGTTGGTTGTGGTGCTTTCAGAATTCAGAACCGCACACTTAACTGAGATGTCACATCTAATTATCTAAAAAGAAACTTTAGTTGATCTGCAGTGTTTCACTGTTGTTCATATAAAGGTATCTCTCATTCAGTCATCATATAAAGGTATCTCTCATTCAGTCATTCTAGCATGTACTTGTACCACCCGTCCACCTGTCAAGTCAAGGCAGACACGGTATACATATACAGTACTTCACTCACGGTTTTAGTTTGCTTTGCTCACCTTTTTTTTAATAGAACGACTTCACCTTTTTTTTAATAGAACACTGAACTGGACCTGGTAGGATTCACAGTTTTGTCCGTGACAACAGAGAATTGCGCATGTT